AACTACACCTGGTCACAGAAACTACACCTGGACACAGAAACTACACCTGGACACAGAAACTATCCCTGGACACAGAAACTACACTTGGACACAGAAACTACACCTGGACACAGAAACTACACCTGGACACAGAAACTACACCTGGACACAGAAACTACAGCCACGGGCCTCGTATAAACAACATGCATACAAACGTTGCGTATGCCAGGGTCCACACACACACACGTTGTGATGTATCAAAACTAAAGTTGCGTGAATGTGTGTGTAAGAATATGCACATCTTTCATCAGTCCTGAGAATGTGTGAACAGACACGCAAAGTTTTTTTGTCACAGTTTTAAACCAGAAAGTCATAAATCTGATCAAAGTACACAGACATATGTCTCCATTCTGTTTTCTGAATGWAAAGAGCATCAGAACATGATTGTTTTGTTTTGTGTTGGGTTTTTTTTCTTAGCTTGAACTATTATTAAACCAGAATGATAAAATTGAACCTCATTTAAACTCAAACAAGAAAACAGAGCAGCCTAAAACAACCTAAGTCTACTGTAAACTGTAAAGTTTCTTATATTTTGTCACTTGTAGATGTAAACACATGTGAGAGAGTGCAGGCCTGCAAGGCACACACACAGCTGAGGAGAATAAAATGTGTGTGAATTGTCTAAAAAGCATTTTAATTCTCACTGAGAAAAAAACTTTGTCAGCTCAGCAGATTCACGCGACATCAAATGTCCCAAATTCTTTAAAGGCACAGTAAACTTAGTGTATTTAAACTTTTGAATATGAAGAAAGTAATAAAAATTGCCTTGAAAAATTCACTCTCTATAATCTGGAATTTGGCAAATAGAAAAACGTCGGTAATCCCAGTCGACCTAAAATGGGAAAAGTTTATTCTAATTTCATGTCAGACTGTGTGAAAAAATGTATTTTAATATAGTGAATGTAAACTTCTGGTTTTAACTGTACCTCGCAGGTGTTGACTCTTTTAAAAACTGTTTTAATTTTTTTTTTAGTTTTTAAAACTACCTCTACTGAAAACATTTAATATCCTCGTGATTTGTTCAGTATAACTAACAGGCCCCAGTGTTTAAAACACACATCATTACTCACTACATTTTCCCAGAGACTGTTTGCTTTTCCTCCTGTGCTCCAGCACTCACCCTCTCTCCGGCTGTTCCTCAGGCAGCGCACTTTGGGGATGTGAGCGAGCAGCTGGCAGTCCTCAGCTGCAGGGAGGAGCAGAGGAGATGACATGTTGTTGTGGAATCAGAACACAGAAAATCACATCCCTTCTTCACTTCCTGCACTCTGTCACTCACACAAGCCCACAGAAACCACACAGTGTGTAATCAGCAGGAGTACAGATGGACACTGCTGCCACCAGTAAACACGAGTACACTCTGACATCCGTCAATCTGCGGTCTTTCCAAACCAATCAGAAACACACAAACACCAACTGAGAGCTGCACTTTCACAGTAATTCAGTCCTGTGTTCAGTTCACATCGTCTCTTTCTCTGCACGAGCAATAAATACACCGCAGAGCTTCTGCTGCTGCATATGGTCGCCAGTGCAAACAGCATGCCAACATGAACACATATTCACACCCGAGAAGGAATTAGCACCAACAGCAGGCAGTGATGTCACTGTGGGATTGTGGGTAAATCAAGACTCCCTGCTCTGCAGAGATGGGGCTTTATGGTAAAGAAGCCTGATGATGTAATCAGATGATTACGTTTGTTTTTATTCTCAATCCTTTGTTTTGATTAAACTGTCAAATCACAGGGGAGGTTAGTGTGTGTGTGTGTGTGTGTGTGTG